ACTCTGTTTCAGCATATATTTACGGATCATATGCACTGGCAGGAGCTTCTGTGTTCGGCGTGGGAGCGTTGATGTATAACGGATTGGTTTCTAAGGACCAATCGATTCTTCAATCAAGCGCGTAAGCTTTCAATTCAGAATTACACTTCGTAAATCCTGCTCTTCAAACTGAAGAGCGAAAGGCTGCTTTTCATTTAGTTACAAGAGCGGTCTTAATGGTAGAAATAGCTATTCTGATCATTGCTCATGCTCACCACGTCGGTACGGCAGTGGTTGGAATTTTCCGCATGGCGGATTGCTTCACTAAACTGTGTGGAACCTACTTGAAAATTGTTTCTTGAGTGGGTTCAGTCATACAAGAGCACCACTCATGCCTATGACTCCTTTTCTTCTCCATTTCACACAGCAGGTGCTTAGGTGACGCAGTGCGCTCTTAAAAGTATTGATTTCGTGTTCCTCATATTTTAACTGAAACATTGTTATTGTAAGCAAGAATAGTAGGGAAGTGATAGAGCTATTCGTGATGGGCAGTAGGCTTGACACAGGCTCAAAGTCTCATTGAAAAGTGAAGGCTTAAAAGTGGCAGTTGTCCCTCGTTCTCGTTCTATCATTATTCTGTCCAGTTTCAAAGTCGTTCACGTCCACTTTAGTTTCTATGATCACCTTTCTTAGTGTGCTCTCAATTTAGGCTTTGGCCAGCGTACGTTCGCGAACGACTCTCATCAACATACTCGTATTTGGCAGGCAGTTTGGCAGTGACAGCAGCTAGTGGAGTTGCGGCCTCACGTAATGCAGCGATCATGCGTCTCACTCAAACTGGAGGAATCATGGTTGGTTGGATGCAAGCTTGTAATCCTTCTGCATTTGTCCGACTTCTTTATACTTTTAGACTTCTTTTTACCACATTTAGTACACCTTGGTTTAACGTTAGTTTTCTTGCTGCTAGTAATGTATCCTCGACTTTAATCAGAGTATCATTCTAGAAATGACTGCTTTGATTCTTCAACTCTCTGTAGAACACGCCGCAACCTTGCTTAGAATTTGATTGAGCTGTAGCCCCGTTACCCTCCTTCATATTTTGGGAGACCTCCCACTTTTTTTTTTGAAAAACATGTTCTTGGACTCATTGCGAATAGGGGCCAAATGTGTGGCTCCAGCCGTCCGACGCAGAATTTTCCTTTCCATAGGAAAGACGGCGCCTCTCGTAGCAAGCGATTGCTCAAAGTTTATCTCTCGCTGGTTCCTACATAGTTTCCACTCTTGTAACACTCTGAAAACCTATTCGAATATTACTGGCAGTATGTCTGAGATTGTTCTAGAATGTAGTGAAGGCACAAGGGCAGAATAAGTTCGTCGAAAATCAAACGACAACACTTTTGGGTCTGGGTCTCAGGGCTTTCGCTTTAGGCTAACATATAATAATTAATAACACTCATTTCTTTTATAGTTGCTTGCACAGGAAAGTTATTTCAAAGGTAAACTTACTGGAATCCCTCTTACATGTAATTCTATGCAGCTGTTTCCGCGAATTTTTGAGACATCTCTTGTTAGAATGTTTTCACTCCTCTCTCAATTTTTTACTGATCCCCTCCCAATTTTTTGAAACTCTACTCGTCATTCTTTGCGCAAGAAAGTTTTCCAAAGATATCCTCACATGAAATCCTTTTTGGTATTCTATTCTAAGCAACTGCTTCTAAGAATTTTTGAGACATCTTTTGTTAGAATGTTTTTCACCCTTTCTCTCTCAATTTTTCGAAAGACCACTCGTCATGTTTATGACCTCGCCTAACACAAATTCTAAGTAGCCAGAAAAGTTTTTAGGGTCAATTTATGAGGGTAGAATTTCAGGCTAAAAATGACATTAGCCATGAAAAGACCATGAGAGACCCAAGTACCACGAACTGGGAGGAATTCAAAACTTCGTCAACAAAAAGGAAGAACAAACAAGATTTGATGGCCATGTTTTGATCCACTTTTTGAGTGGTTGGTTTAAAGAGTTTTCCGAGTAGGAGTGGCCCAGTCTGGCACCACGATGATTTTTCGTTATTCAGACCCGAAAGAAACCGATCACGATTGCCAACTGACGAGCAGTTCTGAGCGCAATGGATAATCCTTCTGAGACGGAAACTCTAAGCCTAACCGGATTTTTTTTTAGTTTCATATATGCTGCTTTCACAATTCGGCCTATTCGATCTCGAAATTTTACGCGAACTGAAGACGCAAGAGTGATATTTGGCCAAGTTTTTGTCCAAATGAGAGGGGAGGGGCGGAAATGCGAAAGCAGCCTTGGTTCTGTTTGAGAAAGATTTTTATTGTAAAAACAGAAGGTTCGTTGAGCGCACTGCAAACTACAGGGTGGCTACAAAGCATGGTCCCCAGTCCTACATATCTATTTCTTGGTAATCCATAAAATCCTTATGAACTGTTGTACGACATACGCTATGAGTCAATCCTCCAAATCGGGCGACCACCACGTCTTCCGAGGAAGGAGATGTTCTTCTGCGGGATAGCTAGAAGGCTTCATGACAACGACATAACAGTAAGAGGAATAATGGCGCAATGCAAGGAACGGAGACATCATCTGCAGCTTCAGAAAAGGGACTAGCCAAGAGCTGTCGGTATTCCGTGGATGCGAACAATCAACAAGAAAAGAATTTGTCGCAACAACGAAAGCAGTTTCAACGGATTTGAATCTCTGAGCAGGAGTGTTCAAAAGATTGCCAAATAAGATGTGAATCTGCGCAGTTATCTGGCTTCTTTCAGGTCAAACGTTAACCCCAGCTGCGAAGGAGAGTGGGGTCGAGAAATGCAGGAAACTCCTCTCAGCAGTATAAATGGGCCGCCTTTCGGGTATCGTAGAGACTGACCAAAAATTTCTACTGTCGAAGTTGCTTACAACAGGCAGAATCGTTGGCAGTTGCTTTCTTGGGCAAAAGGAATTTCAGGAAACGAACAGAGTGTTTTCGCAGTCATAGATTGTTCGGGTCGGTATATTATTTATAGGCGAAACTGCTCTCGTTTTTGTTAATGGAAACATCAAAATC